CCGAGACCGCAGACTCAGCGCGTATTAAGCGAAGTCTCCTCTCTTCTGTCTTCTCCCCCCACTCCTCCCAGCCCGCACACGGAAAGAGAACCAGAAGCAAGATGGTCAACCGTGAGGAACAGGAAAGGACACGAAACAGCAGCTTTCAAAGGCTCCTCTTCAGCTGGAACAAAAGTAAAACGGAAGCAGCTCCCCCCAGACTGTGCTCCTTCGTGAGGAGGTCGGCGCTGGTAACCCGGGGGCACCTCCCGGCACAGGCAGGTCTCAGCCAGGAAGCCGGTCAGCGGTGACTGCGTGGCCCGGACAGGGAGCTGAGGGGGTGGGCGGCGAGGTGACAGGAGGCCGAGGAAGGCTCTATTGCTTATGCCCACCGCCCTCTAACCCCGCCCCCCCAGCCCACCTCCTCAGCCCCCACAATCTGTGCTGCCAGCAGACACGCAGGCTGGCCCAGCCCCATCACTGTTCACTCCTCGGACCCCCCCAGGGCAGGGAACTCGCTTCCCAGGCTGAGACAGGCTGCCTAACGCTCCCGCCGCCTCTGTCACTGGGTCCTTCCTCGCTGCCTGCTTGTTCCCAGGGAGGAGAATTTAGAAACATACCGTCACGTGGGGCCTCCTCACACAGGAGCGATGGCGCGCTCTGGGGAGCGGTGACCTCGGTTTCCTCCTCCCCTGCCAGAGCCCCCTGTCCTGGCTGCTGCTCCCCTGCCTGGCAGACGTGGGGGCCTGAGTCCATGCCGGCTCCCCTAACACCTTCTCGCCCCCCGTCCTGGCTGCTCACTTCAGGAATCCGCTCCAGCTCCTGCTGGAGACACAGCCCCGCAGCGCCCAGCTCCTTCCTCCCCGCGCTGCTGCTGCAGCTGCTGTTCCAGTGGGTCAAGTGGGCCAACTCTTCCTCCTTCGTGGCCGCTGCTTCCGCGCAGAGGGGAGGAGGGGGCTCCTCGGTGGACAGGCTGGGCAGCTCCCCAGGGTTCAATCTGCAGCCAGCTGTCTGCTCCTCGGCCACCGTCATGGAGCGCCTGACGGCAGGAGCCCCCCGTGTCCTGGGCGGAGGAACGGGCTCTTCTCGGGCAGGGAGCTCGGGGTACCTGTCCGCGAGGCTGGCAGCTGGGGGCACTTCGAGGTGGGTGCACTCAGACAGGGCCCGGCGCACGGCCTTCTTCTGCTGGGCTTGGGCGAACAGAGCGCCCTCCTCAGGAGAACGCCGCCGCTCCAGCTCCTTGTCATGGTCCCGGGCCTGAGCGCTGGCACTCGAGCATGCCTGGGGAGCCTCCACCAGAGTGCCGGGTGGCGTGGCAGTGGGTGGGTGCTCGGCAGTGGGGGCTGGGTGGGCCACGGCCACAGGTAATGCGGATCCACGTTCCAGCTGCCCCGAGGTCTCACTCCCCCCGCCAGCCTCCCGACGGCCAGGAGCGATTCCATTCTCCTTTCCCAGAGCTGCTGCCCTGGAGCCCGGCCAGCCTGCAGCCACTGGGTGAACGCTGGGGTTCCAAACACTGCTTTCCGGCTCCCTCCCAGGGGGGTCAGCAGGCCCAGGGAGATCCAGGTCTGGCTGGCGCTTGGTCTCTGGCCCATCCTTCCCTGCCACCAGCTCCTGAACTGTGGAGGCTTTGTTTCTGTCCGGCCCCTCCCTGGGCTCCAGCTGGAACCCGGCTGCCTTCTGGTGACCCGGGCTCCCCTCCGAGGCACAGCAGGAGCCTGACACCACGTACCTGCGGCCACAGTGGCCCGAGCGCGCTGGATGCTCCCTGCCCTGCGCGTCAGTGCCCAGCTCTTTGTCTAGCTTCCCCTCAAAGAAGCAGAGCTGCGTCGGCTGCAGGAAGCTGGCGTTGTTCACAAGCCCGTCTTGCAGCTGCCCATCCATGCTGACATGGAGCCCGATTTCATTCAGTTTGCCCTCTGTCCTCTGCCACTCAAACCCAGCTTGGCTGATTTCTTTGGAGGCGTCCATCTGGCCCCCTGCAGGCTGGCCCCCACTGAGCTGGCTGTCCGTGGCCCAGTGCAGCGCGCTCTCTTCCACAGCCTCCCCCGCTACTGGCGCTGACGCCGCCTGATCGCACGATCCACGGAGCTGGCAGTGACATCACAGCAAGTCCCCAGCATTCGTGACAAAATCCACCTCCCCCCCTGCTCCTCTCAACTCAAGCGGCTGGGCGCTGAATCAACTTACGAGCTTTAAAGGAAGGAGGAAGATGAATGAGAGAGAGAGAAAGGAAGAGATGTGCTACTTCTCATGTTCACATGCCACGGTAAAATTAAAAATGTAATTTCCTGCAAACCAGCACTCAGTTTAGCTCTGCAACTGGAAGCATGGCCTGGAGCCAGCGTGGGTGCTGAGGTAGTCGTTCCTCCGGCTTTCACTGATACGGATCTGCGTATACCCCACACTCACTTACCTGACACTTCACCCACTCAGAAAACTGTTTTAAAAATAAGCCAGACTCAGTTGCCAATCCCCAGCCATAACCCTTAAAGAACAATGATTCCAGAAAATCGCTCAAAATTTCACTTAATCTCCCGAATGTCATATGAAAATTGGAGGCACTCATTTCTCAGAGGAAGAGTGGGTTTGCTGTCATAGCAACCTACCAAGCTCACTTGAGAACAGATTGGAATGGAGTCCCCAGAGCCCATGAGAGCTCCCCCGGAGCTCTGCACGTGGCAGTCCAATCCAGGGTCCGCGGGAAGACCACAGCCATCTCAGGGCTTTGGGGACAGGTATCCGGTGACAAGACGCTCATGTGACAACAGACCCCTCACATGCTCACTCCTGCCCCTGCTCCCCTGGGCTCCTGGGACAGGCTGGTCTCCACCCCCAGCACCAGCCTGCTCCCTCCAGCCCAAGGAGAACCCCGTTGCCACGTGAACACAGTGGGGCAGTTCGCCTCCTCGGACCTCCGAAGGTAGGAACCTGGCCATCTGTGGCTTGGGGTTTGCCCGCCCATCAGAGCCCAGTGCCCTCGTTAATGCAGCATGGTCCTTTGCTGCCCTGGCCTTTGAGCTTATAAATTGCACATTCAGGACGGAGGGATCCACAAAAGACAATTCTCAGGGGGTCGGGGGTTACACTTAAAGAGAGGGCAGAGCATAATCTACCTTGAACAAAAGTGATCTTTGTTGCCTTGCCTATGAGTCACACCATCTTGTGCTAAAATAGGAACTACGAAATATTCATCAAGAATACATTAGATGGCTCTAGCTGGTTTGGCTCAGTGGATAGAGCGTCGGCCTGCGGACTGGAGGGTCCCGGGTTTGATCCCAGTCAGGGCACATGCTCGGGTTGTGGGCTCAATCCCCAGTAGGGGGCACGCAGGAGGCAGCCGATCAATGATTCTCTCTCATCATTGATGTTTCTATCTCTCTCTCCCTCTCGCTTCCTCTCTGAAATCAATTTAAAAAAT